GGCGCGTCGAGCGTCGCTGCACGACTCCCGTCTTGAGTGCTTTGTTCAGTGTGAAGACATAGATGCCGGTGGCGTCGGACAAGTCACGCATCGTGCTCCGTTGTTGATGAGGTACTTCTTCAATTGCCGCTTTTATCTCGTCGATTGTGTATCGGGCCTTGCGTCCGACGCGGCCCTTTTTCAACGTGTTTGTTGACCCTTTTTTGTAGCGTCTCCACAAAATTCGAACAGTGCTGCGGTGCAAGCGGAAGCGGGATGCCACGGCCTTGATTGTCCCGTGTGGTAGCTTGCCCATGCAGAGGCTGTCTTGGAGCACGGTTACTATTTCACGCTTGGCTTCTTCGCACAACTCCCGTTGCGTGCGTCGGGCCGAACTCATCGCGGGAAAATTAAAAGTGGTCACACGGCCCCCAGTTTTATTGTTTTTAACCATGATTTATTTAAATATATTCGGTGGTGGTTATGCCTTGTCGATTTTGAACTCCAAAATCTCGTTTTGGCGCTCTGCTGCCAATGGATGTCACCTCCAGTTTTCTATTCTCTATTTGTTACAGTTTTCAGTATCGAATTTGGACTAGAAATATATTTTTGGGGTCACTTGAAGTCGAAATGGTGGCAGTACTGATCTCCCCCCACTTCGAAACGGAGCACAATATGCATATTACACAGAAAATAAAATTCTACAGGTACCCTTTACTACAACAATAAACCATTCTCCATCATTTGAATATACCCGAGGAATATATGTATACAAACTTTATCAAGTTTGACCCGTTTCGAAGTCGGGGGAGATCAGTATTGCAAAACAGAGCAAGGATCTTTGGTACAGCTTAATTTGAAATTGCAACTGCTGTAGCTTGGTGGTGCATCTGCATGGATGCGAGAGGTCACCAGTTCAATTCCAGTTTGTGCCGATTTTTTCCCTTTTTCCTGTTTGTCTCGTCGTCGGTGGACACGCTTGCAATGCCTACGCGGACACGAGGCATCTACGTCGAGATGTGTTGGGTCGGGACTATCGAGGGGACATTTGATTTCGCGGGGGCGATTGCCGTTCTCAAGCAGGCTGCTTCGCTCAACTCGCAGGTGCTCGCCTTTCGAGGGCTAAGTGTGTTGAAGCATCGTGTCAGCTGCTTGCGCAACTTGCCCGTGAGAGATCTGACTTGATGACACGTTCACCATTCAATGGTCTACCAGGACTAGCACTGCACCGACGAAAACTCTGCCGACAGCGACATGGAGAATGCCGCAAGAACTGCGAAAGGTTCTGCAGCGCATTTGTACTACCTCTGTTATGCAAATACTGCAAGCGAACATTCAGGACTATTCAAATTTGAAGATAACATGAATCTAAATATAGTAACTTTTACAGCTCATCAATCTTCAATGTGGTCAACAGGTTTGCTACCTCTTCTAATCTATCCTCTTCCTCGAGTCGCAAATTCATCAATGATAAAGCCATTTCGTCCTCTGGTGTCAATGCACTTATGGGTATCTTGTAGCGATTGCAACCGTTGGCCTCGATGACGACAAGCATGATTCGCCTGAGGGTCAAAAACGTCTTCTCCAGCTTCGAGGGGGACAGCATAAGAAAAGAGCACTTCACGGAAGCAATGAGTTCTTCCATGCTGCGGCATTCCAGCGTCTGCTGCAGGGATTGAATAGAGTTAAAGAAACCCAAATCCAGGACGTTCATATCCGGCGATTGAGCTGGCTGGTTTTCGATGCGGATCGTCCAACCACCGTCTTCGCTGGCCGTGACAAACTCGGCAT